AAAAAAAAAAAAAAAAAAAAAAAATTAAGATACAGACCAACAGTTTCAGACATGTGCGTTTTATTTAGTTGTGTGTAGAGGCTGAAAGCCCCATGCACAATCCTTCATACACCTCAAACACAAGGTAGAAGCTTCATCTCTCATGATAACTGGACCAAGTATTTAAGGCGGAGTACAAAAAAAAAGTTCAGATTACATAATTTACATATTAAGCAATACTACAGATCTGATGAGCAGTAAGCCCACCAGAGAATAAACCTTCATAGAGGCAAATAAGGTGGTGAACAAAGACATCTGAAATGATCTACACAACACTACAAATGACATGTTTATCCACACAGTCACACCACCTGGATGCTGTCCTTCATGTAGAGTTTTGCCCAATCAGAGGGCGTAGTGCCATAGCCAGAGTGATAACAGAATGGGAAGAGGTGCAGGCCCAGCACAGTGTTGGTGTAGGTGCAGAGCCTGAGCAGTGTTTTTGAAGGGGTGTAGGAACAAAGTCTGTTTAGAAGCACTTCCTGTGGACAATGCTGGGGCCAGACTCATCATACTCCTGCTTGCTGATCCACATCTGCTGGAAGGTGGACAAGGAAGCCAGGATGGAGCCTCCAATCCATACAGAGTACTTCCTCTCTGGGGGAGCAATGATCTGCAAAGGTTCAAATACTTATGTCAATTCATACTGGTATGTGCATGTATTGGAAGTTTATTCAATCGCAACCGCCCTCCTGCTAAGTTGAGTAAAGGAGCAGTCAAAGATTTTAAATCAATTACCTTGATCTTCATGGTGGTAGGCGCCAAGGCAGTAATCTCCTTCTGCATACGGTCAGCAATGCCAGGATACATTGTTGTACCTCCAGAGAGGACAGTGTTGGCATACAGGTCCTTACGGATATCCACATCACATTTCATGATACTGTTGAAGGTAGTCTCGTGGATACCGCAAGACTCCATACCTGTACAACAAGTGCTTATGAGTTGGGGACTTAAAAAAATAAATAATTCACTCATTTATACATGACATTTGATTTCCCCAATACCTACCAAGGAAAGAAGGCTGGAAGAGGGCCTCAGGGCAGCGGAACCTTTCGTTTCCAATGGTGATTACCTGCCCGTCAGGAAGCTCGTAACTCTTCTCCAATGAAGAGGAGGAGGCAGCAGTTCCCATTTCTTGTTCGAAGTCCAGTGCAACATAGCACAGCTTTTCCTTGATGTCTCGCACAATCTCACGCTCAGCTAAGAGACAATATTAGAGTTAATCCCTTTGCATCAGTCGCTTCAAAAAATATATATACTAATACTAGTTTATGCTTACCTGTAGTGGTAAAGCTGTAACCCCTCTCAGTCAGGATTTTCATGAGGTAGTCTGTCAAGTCCCTACCAGCCAGGTCCAACCTCAGGATGGCATGGGGCAGAGCATAACCTTCATAGATTGGCACTGTGTGGGTCACACCATCACCGGAGTCCATGACAATTCCAGTGGTACGGCCAGAGGCGTACAAGGACAGTACAGCCTGGATGGCAACGTACATGGCAGGTGTGTTGAAGGTCTCAAACATGATCTGAAAGGAGGAATTGAGCAATTAGTCTTTACCTGGGTTGAACCAATGAGCTTGTAGAGTTAGTACAATCATTGGACACAAAAAAAAATTAATTTAGTTGTTTGCTGCACAAGTCCACAGTCTCAGCTCATCTAGTTAATAGTTTAGTCATGCAGACACCCAAATAGTTAAGTCCTAATCTACTTTAGCAAATCCAATTTAAAGATTTCAGTGTCCATGCTGCGCTACTCATTCTTGATGCAGTGCAGAAAGAGAAACCTGAAGAATCCATAGAGACGAAAGAGATCAGATTGTGAAGAGCCCTACAAGTTGAACAGGAGGAAATTACAGATTGAACCATAAAAGGAATGCCTGCAGTTTAAAATAGGGCCCTGCATACGAGCTAAAAAGTTCTAAAGAGAAAGGATTAGGCAATCAGCTTTACCTGGGTCATCTTCTCCCTGTTGGCCTTGGGGTTCAGAGGGGCCTCCGTCAGCAGGACAGGGTGCTCCTCAGGGGCAACTCTCAGCTCATTGTAGAAAGTGTGATGCCAGATCTTTTCCATGTCATCCCAGTTAGTCACAATACCATGCTCTATGGGGTATTTAAGAGTCAGGATTCCCCTTTTGCTTTGTGCCTCATCACCAACATAGCTGTCCTTCTGGCCCATCCCAACCATTACACCCTGTGAACACAATGAGTCAGTTAACTTTGCAGGCAACGCAGTGGGGAGGAAAAAAAAAAAAAAAAAAAAAAAGTGGGGAGGGGGATCTGTACCTGATGCCTGGGACGGCCAACAATGGAGGGAAAGACAGCACGTGGAGCATCATCTCCTGCAAAGCCAGCTTTGCACATTCCAGAGCCATTGTCAACAACCAGGGCGGCAATTTCGTCTTCCATTTTCTGATAGAGGGGGAGAGAAGAATGTTTAAAAGATTTTCTGGGACACTTATCTGGTAAAGAGACCCAAGTTGATTTAGTAGTTTTAGCCTGTATAAATAAAAATATAAAAAAAATTTTGAATGAATGAGTGCCTGTAGGCTGGATGCCGCTGTTGCGCATGCGCCAATTTAAAAATCCAGAGCAGAGAAAAACCAGGCAGCTCCTCTCCCGGTCTGGTCATGCCCATATAAGGACAAAAGCGAGGGCAGTTTAGAGACCGCGGCAGACCCACCCGGAAGTCATCCCGTAGGTTGCCCGAACCTCAGATGTCAGGCAGACATTCGGCCACTCCCTTTTAATTACCCTCATTGAATTAACCCATCCACACAACGAAGCTGGATTTCAAAAGTAGGGTTTTTTTTTTTTTTTTTTTTTTTTTTTTTTTTTTTTTTTTGCATTTGCTCACTTCAGTAGCCGCTGAACAACTTTTCTGCATAGAGTTGTTCACAAATGTGTTCAGTTAAAAGAAACACCCGTATACGCTTTTTCTCAAGTTCATTCATGTGAAATATGAGACGACGGAAGAACCGACGTCAATGCAGACGAGAGGTCAAGCTTTGAACGCAGTCCGATTCACGACTGTAGAGACTAAACCACTAAGCAGCACAACTATTTCACACCATCCAAAATATTTTCACGCCATGTTTTAATGAGAGCCAACTCTTTACATCACTAGCCTTCCAGACGGTCGCCTCAACTTAAGCGAAAAGCCTCACGAGACAACCTACGAATAATTTTTACAACCTGAGTAAATTAAAATCTAGCGATAATGAAAAGCAGTAGAGCTATTCCATTTCTCTTACCTGTGTGAATGAGGGTTATCGGTTCAGGCAACTTGTGACTGAGCGCTGTACTCTGCCAGGGTCTGAGTTTGACTGCGATAAAGGCCAGCAAATCGCAGGATTTTATCCAGGCTCGTGCTGCAACCTCTTCCCATATAAGGATAACTTTCCGAACGGCGCCCTCTGATTGGCTGCGCCGCATTCACTGGGCGTGGCACATGCAGATAACGGTTGTGAGCACTGACTTGGCAGTGTGGGATTTGTGTTAAAAAAAAAAAAAAAAAAAAAAACTTTAAAGTCATGTGGCTAAATCTCATTTCAATTTATTGATGTCTATTATGGCATTAGTGAAGACGATATAAACATTGGTTCAAAACACACCAGTGCTCTATGTGCTCTAAAGTTGTTGTTTTTTTTAAATCCCCAAATTAATTTTCTTAATTGGACACAAAAGGATAATCAAATGTATTATTTTTTTCCACTTAATTTGGATAAAAGAGATCTGAGAATACCGAAGTGCTGGTTTGTTTTAATTTCTGCAAAGCAAAACTTTCTGCCTTGTTACAGAAATTCATCAGAATTTCCTGCAGGATTTACAACCTCAGGGTCACTGACAGCCCTGTTAACACCTCGCCTGACATTTCTGCCCTGGCATACCAATCTCAAACACACACACACACACACACACACACACACACACACACTGAGAGACAGAGAAACGTGAGATAAATCTGAGGTATGTAACATCAAAACTCTGGAGGGTTTAAATCTCTCTTCACTTGAGTAATAATGATACATAATGAGCTGGTGTGATGGCCTCAAAGTGAAATTACATTATGACTCATGTCAGTGCTCTTCTACACTATTAAAATATATACAACTCTTGAACTTATTGTAATTCTATAACACAAAATGTTTTTATTTGTTTAAGTGTAATATTAAATTTTATGATCGCATTTATCTCGTAAAGCTTTTTCTAAAATTTGACCAAAGAAAGACCCAGATGCTGCTTTAACTCAATTAGGGCACAAGGCAAAGACTTATAAACTGACACTGGGAATTCTCACAAGCTCTGTGTGTTCCTAATATGGCTATATGGGAGCCAGCTCACCAGTAAAGAGAGGAAGTGGGTTTTCATAGTGCTTCGTTTTTTTAAGATGCATGCAGGATGTGGCTGCAGCTGAGGACAGCGTACAAGTGATGAATGAGCTGATCAAGGAATGCTTTTCAGAATTGTATCATTCTGCTCCAGACCCAAAGCAGGACAGACATCCATCCCATTAAGTTTTTTGGATGGCATCCATATAAGGAGATATTGAAGGGCGTCACATAGGGGAGGAAATGCAAGGCTAAGATTATGTGACCAGTCTGAGGAAATAAAGGAACCTTTCTTTTTAAGGCTGTGCGTGTTTATGCTCTGTGACGGTATCTCACTGTTCATCTTGCTTTATGTCCTAAAAGGGTCGCATTATCAACACATTTTCATGTCTTTCTAATCTTAATACTTATCACTTACACTGACAGAGATTTCACATATCCTTTGGACTTTCGCACCATTTCAGAACGTTCCTTTTGCTTGACTAATGCATGGATTACAACACACACAGATAGATCCATGTACTGTAGGAACTCCCTCTGCATTGTTCACCCACATGGTCAGAGAAACGCAAATCATGTCTCTAGGCTCTGACTAAGACCATATATGGAAAAAGTCAGCACGTATCTTCTGTTAACTTTTCACCCACCTCAAAATGTCTTCCTTAAACACCAATTATTTATTTGTCTGGCATCAGTCACACTTGGGTTATTTAATTTCACAGATGTGGGAGTGCGATACAAGGTCAATGAGCATAATTACCTGTTCCACTCTTCATTCTTTCACACTTATTACGTCACGTTCCAGAGTTCATTCATAAAGAGGGGTGTGTTCAGGCTCAAAGGAAAACTCTTGGCTCTCCTAGTTGTTAGTCATTTTCTTGTTGAAATGTTAGTTGAACAGCTGATATTGTACACAACTTCTGCTTATTTATCATTTCAGGGACACAGAACTGTGTAACTTTTATAAAACTAGAATAGGCACGAGACACTTTCTGTTAAGAGAAGTTCAGTTGTTGATGTTGAACATTCAAACATCACTGCTTTGTCATTTTTGTTTAATAAAATCTTTAGTATTCATAGAGTCCTGAAGATGTAACGTGATGATTAATTAATTGGTATACTGATTTTATTGGTGAAACAGTTATTTCATTTACTATTTGGTTAATAATTTACCATAGTTTATGGTGGAATATGTGCTAAAACTTTTTTTTTCACGAATTTCTGTCAGAATGCCGCCTCTTTAAGGGCAACGCAATGGATGAGGGGAGTAGAAAGTTCATGACATGATTGTGTGTTGTGCACGGTGATGGCAGAGAACTACACGCTCTCTGCTCGAGCCGTGGGTTTTGATTAATAAAGTTGCACAAAAGCGAAAATCTATGCAATTTTTTTTTTTTGGGGGGGGGGGGGGGGGTTTGTTCTTTTCAAGGGTGCAACATAGGCAGTTATGTAAGAGGGCAAAGCTTTTAGCAACTTCAAACAAGGATATATTACATTATTTTAGTTTTAAATACACTGCTTGGCCCCCAAAAAAGTTGCCGCCAAAACAAAAGTCACAAATATTTTGTTGGACCTTTAATTTTTCCCCAAGATCTTGCATTGATAGGAACTAGGCATGATGGGTGCATCACTTCACCTGCCTCTCTTCTTATCCTGATGTGCCCATCACTCTGGAACAGGGTAAATCTGGACTCATCAGACCACATGACCGTCTTCCATTGCTCCAGAGTCCAATCTTTATGCTCGCTAGCAAATTGAAGCCTTTTTTTCCCAGTTAGCCTCACTGATTAGTGGTTTTCTTGAGGCTACACAACTGTTCAGTCCTAATCCCTTGAGTTCCCTTCACATTGTGTTTGTGGAAATGCTCTTACTTTCACTATTAAACATAGCCCTGAGTGCTACTGGTTTTTGTTTTTTTGTCGATTTGATTTCACCAAACATTTAAGTGTTCGCTGATCACAATCATTCAGGATTTTTTTCGGCCACATTTCTTCCTCGAAGACGAGGGGTCCCCACTATCCTTCCAGTTTTTTATAACGCGTTGGACAGTGCTTAATCCAATTTTAGTACAAACCGGATTCCAAAAAAGTTGGGACACTAAACAAATTGTGAATAAAAACTGAATGCAATGATGTGGAGATGGCAAATGTCAATATTTTATTCGTAATATAACATAGATGACATCAAAAGTTTAATCTGAGTAAATGTAACATTTTAAAGGAAAAATATGTTGATTCAAAATTTCACAGTGTCAACAAATCCCATAAAAGTTGGGACAAGTAGCAATAAGTGGTTGGAAAAAGGAAACTGAGCATATAACAAACAGCTGGAAGACCAATTAACACTAATTAGGTCAATTGACAACATGATTGGGTATAAAAAGAGTTTCTCAGCGTGTCAGTGTCTCTCAGAAGCCAAGAGGATCACCAATTCCACCATCGTTGTGCAGAAAGATAGTGCAGCAATACCAGAATGGTGTTACCCAGCGTAAAATAGCAAAGACTTTTAAGTTATCATCATCAACCGTGCATAACATCATCAAAAGACTCAGAGAATCTGGAACAATCGCTGTGGGTAAGGGTCAAGGCCGTAAAACTCTACTGGATGCTCGTGATCTCCGGGCCCTTAAACATCACTGCACCTCAAACAGGAATGCCACTGTCAAGGAAATAACAGAATGGGCTCAGGAATACTTCCAGAAAACATTGTCCGTGAACACAATCCACCGTGCCATCCGCCGTTGCCAGCTGAAACTCTACAGTGCAAAGAGGAAGCCATTTCTAAGAAAGCTCCACAAGCTCAGACATTTGCACTGGGCCAGGGGTCATTTAAAATGGAGTGTGGCAAAATGGAAGACTGTTCTGTGGTCAGATGAATCACGATTTGAAGTTCTTTATGGAACACTTGGACACCATGTCATCCGGACCAGAGAGGACAAGGATAGCCCAAGTTGTTATCAACGCTCCATTCAGAAGCCTGCATTGCTGATGATATGGGGTTGCATGAGCGCTTGTGGCATGGGCAGCTTGCATGTCTGGAAAGGCACCATTAATGCAGAGAACTATGTTCAGGTTCTAGAACAACATATGCTCCCATCTAGACGTCATCTCTTTCAGGGAAGACCCTGCATTTTTCAACACGATAATGCCAGACCACATTCTGCAGCAATCACAACATCATGGCTACGTAGGAGAAGGATCCGGGTACTGAAATGGCCAGACTGCAGTCCAGATCTTTCACCTATAGAGAACATTTGGCGCATCATAAAGAGGAAGGTGCGACAAAGAAGGTCCAAGACGATTGAACAGTTAGAGGCCTGTATTAGACATGAATGGGAGAGCATTCCTATTTCTAAACTTGAGAAACTGGTCTCCTGTCCCCAGACGTCTGTTGAGTGTTGTAAGAAGAAGGGGGGATGCCACACAGTGGTAAAAATGGACTTGTCCCAACTTTGTTGACGCCATAAAATTTGGAAACAGATTTTTCCCTTAAAATGATACATTCTCTCAGTTTAAACTTTTGATCTGTGATTTGTGTTCTGTTCTGAATGAAATATTAGATGTTGGCACCTCCACATCATTGCATTCAGTTTTTATTCACAATTTGTTTAGTGTCCCAACTTTTTGGAATCCGGTTTGTAGTTTCTGCAATCTCAGATGTTTTCTCTTCTTGATGCCAATGATTTGACTCTTCTCAAACAGATTGACATCTTTTCCACGACCACGCCATGTGTCTTTTGACATGGTTGTTTAAAAAATGAGAAGCAACTCATTGCACCAGTTGGGGTTAAACAACTTGTCAGCTGAAAGATAATCGTCCATGCAGTAATTATCCATCCAAAAGGAGGCTCATACCCATTTGCTTGGTTAAATCCAGGTGGCAACTTTTTGGCCAGGCAGTGTATTAAGGTAAAAAAAAAAAAAAAAATTCATTATGTAATTTAAACTATAAAAACACCTCGTTTCCCCATCTTATAAAAGCGAACTACCATATTTTTCGCACTATAAGGCACACCTGGAGCAGAAA